GGTCAAAATATTGACCCTAGATGCTAAATAGTATAATATTAGTACCAGGTAAAATATGGAATCAATAGAAATCAGTCCAAGGTAAAATATGAAAAATGAGCAAACAGCATATGGTCAAATTTTATGGCCATCACCAACAAGCCTATTTTTCAGTGATAGTTCCTCCCCTCTCCAACAATTTTTACAAAATTTGCAGAAGCTATTATATTTTATATCATCTTGAATATGTACGAAACATTTGCCACAGTACAGTAAACAAGCAATGGCGAGACAGCTGTATAGCTGATTATATGGTATGGGCTGGGCTCATTGTTGACATTGTTGAAAGCCATATAGTAACATATAGTTGCTTTAATCTGCATTATTTGGACTCCAGTGGATAATTGTCTCATTTGAAATCATACCACATTAATTTATGACAATTGATTAAAATCAACCAGTCGTCTCCTACCTTTAAACTTTGTCTAACTCTTCTCTGATGTATGACCTCTCCTTTATACCAATTTCAAAATTCATAATTGCTTCTTCTTGTGTCATGCATTGGCTATCTTCATATTTCCTTTCTATGCATTTAACTCTGAAGATTCTTCATTTGATTTAGTCGCTAATAAAAATCATTTCCTGCAAAACATAAAAACATGAATTAGGATTAATAAATAGGCATAATTTTTGAAACTATCTATATAAAACTATGTAGTTTTGGTAGTATAATGATAAAAATAAACACCTCACCCTGAGGTCAATAATTTTTATATTGACACTGCACTACAAATACAAATAATCAGTACAAAGAAAGATAATTCTGTTCATTTAAGCTGACAATATCAAAAATAGCAACATAACACAATAAGCTTGCTAAAAATATAATATAGCTGATCTTAAGAACATGTTAAGCACAAAACACACATATAATCAAAATAACAAAACTTACCATGTATGATGTACAAAAGGTCCTGTATACACAAAACTCGGGAACTAATATGGTACTATATCATTTACAAATAGGGAAGTTGAAATCATCCCTTCGTAAATTTTACGGACGCCATCACGAGTTGGTTGACCGTTATGGAATAACCGTTTCACAGATGATATCGAATATGTTCCTTATGTCGTAACTACAATACCCTCCCTTTTCACGAATGTGACTTACCGAATTAGACTATTTACCGGATTTGTAATAACATAAGCAACACGACGGGTGCCACATGTGGAGCAGGATCTGCTTACCCCTTCCGGAGCACCTGAGATCACCCCGTTTTTGGTGGGGTTCGTGTTGCTTAGTCTTTGGTTTTCTATGTTGTGTCATCTGTACTATTATTTGTCTGTTTGTCTTTATATTTTTGGCCATGGCGTTGTCAGTTTGTTTTCGATCTACGAGTTTGACTGTCCCTCTGGTATCTTTCGTCCCTCTTTTACAATATTGGAACAATATGGTTTAGTATCTGTAATAAAAACAATCATAACTGTTGTTGTTAATAGTTTGTGTATATACAAAAATATGTCTTATTACATAAAAATTATTATTTTTGATACCAAAACTATTTTATCTATTCACTTTTACATTAATACTATTGCTTCTTTCCATTTATACATAGTACTTAGATATCATATAATTTGGCTTAAATACTTACAAAATGATTATTTTATGTGATTTAACCAACATTTTATATATTCTTTTATTCTGAAATCATTCAGTTTGACCATTCATACTAAATCATCTATACAACTTACATTCATATCAGTACATTAGTAGGAATGTGAGATGTTAAATAAGAGAAAACTGACCTTATTTGATGAAATCTAAGATGTCCTCCAAATATGAATATAAATTATATAAAGGAACAGCACAGCACCATTCAGTTCACCTGATTCAGTTCAAAATATAGACAATTCTAACCAAACAAAAGAATTTCCCTCCAAAAAGACTTATGACTTAATTAACCAATTATCATAAAGAAAGGAGAGTTTTCATAACATTAGAACATACTCACCCCTTCTCGTCCAATGAAAAGTCAGTGTTTCCCTTCTAATTTTCATAGTACATGGTTTTTCATAGCAGCCGTTGTGAAGCAAGTAGACTGCAACCAAACAACAATAGTAATAAACTGTTATCACAGAGATATGTCTCGCTTTTTTGTAATTTTGATTATGCAAATGTTGAAATTAAAATGGCAATACTTAACAAGTTAGGCTAATATTCAAAGTCAATGAACCATGACTGAGGTACATGGCTAAACCATCTCCATGTAAATGAGATGCGTCAATGCTAATACAACTGCATACCAAATATCATTGACTTATTATAAGTTGTTCCCTTTAAACAAACCTAAACACAAACATTAACTTGTAAACTATGTAAAAGTTTCAAAGTCAATGCAATGAACAATGAAGAGGGGGTGGAGCTATATAATCTCCATGGAAACGATACAAGCAAATGCAAATAAATTTGCATACCAAATATCATTGACTTAACATTAGCAGTTCATCTTAAACTGATCTTATCACAAACTAGTACATGTAAACTAAGCAAAAGTTTCAAAGTCAATAGGCCATTACTGAGGGGATGGGGCCAAATATTCTCCATTGAAATGAGATGTGCTAATGCTTATACAGCTGATACCAATTAACATTGGCCTACCACTAATGGTTCCCCTTGAACTGACATAATCACAAACTAATACATGTTAACTTAGCAAAATTTTCAAAGTCAATAGACCATGACTGAAGGGGCAGGGCCAAATAATCTCCATGTTTTGCTGTCTTATGGTAATTTGTGGCAACGCTTAATTATGGCAAACTGCAATATTAAATAACGATTGAGTATTAAAAGAAGTATTCGAGAAAAAAAAATGAATTAAATCGTGTATAAAACGGCACATTTTAGCGTATTTTCAGACTTCGTCGGTGTGGAACTTGACTGAACAAAATGGCGTCAATGTAAACTATAAACATGGGATTTTGAAAAATCATAGAAAATTCGTTTTTATCACCATTTTCATAACACCAACACCAGGTTATAGAAAAATAATAAGCTTTTGAATTGTATTCCATTGCTATATCTATTTGAAGTAATTATCTAACCCTTACCAGAATATAGCGTGTTGGTGTATTTTTTGACGCACTACTTAAAATTTTCAACATGTTTCGAAATAAAATCATTTCAATGTACCAATAATATTTAGCATTCGTAATTTAGACCGAATTGTAGGAAAATATTCCTTCTTTAAAATAACATCTCATTTGGTCATTTTGTTTGTTTTCTACTTTTCAACATTTAAAAAAAATCGTATTACACTGCCAGATTGAAAGACACGCTTTGACAGAATAATGAAATTCATAACTGAAATTTTGGAAAATCGCAGAAAATTCAGAAATTTTACCAGAAACATAGAAAAGCGTTAAAGTTCTAGAATGAGGTTTTAGCTTCATAATGATATCAACTATTTTGTTTTGCCTTTCATGGTTGTCGAGCTTTTAGAAAAAAATCAAAACACTATTTTTTTGTATTGTAATCCGGATGAAACTCTCGCAAATTTCAAGACCGAGGTCTAGTTTTATAAGACATTTCATAATAATTTTTTGCAAAGGTATGTTCGGAAAGGCATTAAAATGATACCTATAAGGACTTAACTTTTACATGGAATAGTAGTTTATACTTGATTTGGGTTTCTCTCTCCTTTATATCTTTTCAAGCAAGATGACCCTGTGAATTTAGAATACCGATATTTATGACAGGAAATGGAACTCCGTCATGATTCTTTATCTTATTTATCATGCATACTTCCGACCGAATCAGACATGGATTATCGCTCCGAGGGAGTCCCGATTGATCTCGAGCCGTGTTTCCATTCCTTTTAAATATACAATTCCTTGTTTACATGTTGTAATGTACTATTATAGTATTTATTTATGTATGTCTCTGTCCTGAGTGTTCTTGCGTTTAAGTGTAATGTAATCCTGTCACGTAATGTTGTGTTTATGTTGTTCCGTTGTTTTCCTCAGTTTCGGTTTGTGACCCGGATTTGTTTCAGTTAACTATTGAATAGCGGTATACTACTGTTGCCTTTATTTTACAGTTCATTTAGTTATTTTCGGAGTCGACATAATGTGTTTCGTAAAACAAAGTAATAATTACCATGCAAAAATGCTTCTACTATAATTTTAACTTGTGAGTAAAATTCATTTTATTTCATTAATCACGTTACAATGATTACCAAATTATTATCTAAGTTAAAATTTCATTTTTAGAAACTCTTAATCTATGACACCTTCAAGGGTTATGCCTTACGGAATTACTGTTCAAAGTTCGTCGTATTAATTACCCATACGCGTATGGTCGGACTATATGAGTATATACGCATATGGTCATGACCATACGCGTATGTGGTTCAAATACTGATATGGTCCGGAACATATATACCAGCAGTGAGAGATAAAACCAGGATTATTGTAAGATGTATCAAGGAATTGTATATTTAAATATGCAATTCCTTGTTAGAACTGAGGACAGAAGCAACATAATCTTTCGTGTTTATATATATATTTCTTGACTGCATTTACGATTCATGTACACTTTATATTGCATTTATAATTAACTTATTCGTCCTTTTGGTCGTTATGGATACTCATGATTCATTGGCAATCATGCAATATCTATTTTCTTTCTAATGCTCTAATATGCCAATTCTGACAGATGTATAAAAAGTGAAACAACACCAACTGACCTGTCCTTATACGTTTTGTACTATACACACAAAACATCTTGCAGATTAATAATTGCTTTTAAAAGTTTTAAATATCTTAACTTAAAATGCAAAAAAAAAAACAAAAAAAAAACAGGGAAGGCAAAAACTTGGTGTCAAAACAACATGTAATTATAAAATGAATACTAGTATACTAAGTAAATAAGTCTGTTATCGAAGTGATGCGTTGAATGGAAAGACAGAGTTTTTATTAGTCTGTGGATTAAATTTAATTTCATTTTAGTATATCCATTTCAGAATAAGAATAAATAGGAAGTCTGGTACTCGTCTTGGAAATGGGAAAATTATTAAAGAAAGACAAAAAGTAGCAGAAAAGAATTCAACAGAAGACAAGGAATATCAACTGTGTGTACCGGCACCTGTTTTATATTCAAGTGATGATATATATAAATATAATATGAGTCGGAGAAAGCCAGGGCTTGCGGTTTTCATCATTAATTCTAGGTTTGAACATCAACCGTATAGACCATTTGCAAGAACAGACTGTCGTTATATGGTAAAACTCTTTAAACATTTAGGCTTTGAAATACATCTTCTAGAAGACCTGAAAGGACAGGAATTGTGGAGAGAGCTAATAGGTAGGTAAAATTGAAATTAAATCAATTTTTAAGTAAAACTATAACAGCAAAGTTAAAATGATACATGAAAAAGAAAATGCCTGTACATGTCTCTCGGTGGGTTAGGCCTATGATTTGTTTTATACTTACTATGTAATAAATTAGTAACACTTGAAATAAACTATATGAAAAAAGTCTTACAAATACTAGGCTTATGATTTCAGTGTAATTCAAGGTAGATTTACGGGATTGCCAGTTTCAGTGGGATAGACAACCGCAAAATCGAAATATAACGGAGGTTCGCGACCGGTGACATTTCTCAAAAATGCGAGTTAAGTACCTTGTATTATAACAAGGTATATAGGAATATTTTTTTCAGAGACAAGTGCCTGTGTGTACGGTCATTCTCTTTATACTGATACTCCGCTATTCCAAATAAAATATTTTGGGTAAAAACCATCAATTTTGAAGCAGACAACGTAAACATTCCGCGAACCTGTTTTATTTATTGGCATCATAAATAAACTCTACGGAAACGCATTGTCAACGTTATAAACAAGGCGATATATATACGGTCAGTGACTGTATATATTACAATAAAATATACGGTCAATGCAGTTTGACTCCTCAAATAGCACAGTTGTAGTGTAAATATGTAGGACTCTGAACCGCGATGGACACGCTGAAGTGCGTTTTTGAACACGCTAAAGTGCAATGGTGGCATTGTGACACTATCTTGTTGATAGCCACGCCGAGAGTGCCTTAGTGGTAACGATGAAGTGCGATGCACTACTTAAACTATATTTTCAATGTTTTTCATTTTCACATGTCGATGAAGAAGTCAATTTGTTTGTAATAAGCTGCTTTTCATATTCGTTCAGAAAGAAACAGTTTAAGCAACAAACATATTCGACTGTTGTGAATGAGAGCAAGGAATAAGATGGATCACCGTAAACGGTTATTATGGAGTGTTTGGTATTTATATACTAACTAATAAAAAATCAAACTATCAAAATAATTGCGCATCTGTACACTTTAAACTATCCATCACGCGTCATATAGACCATCGCACATCAACAAAAGGACAATCACACTTCGGCGCAAACCATCGCACTACAGCGTCCCCATCGCACCTACAAATATAAATATACACACTTTGCATACAAGCGGATACGCACGCTTTATGAACTTAAATTTTAATTGTAATATTAGTTCAGGTGAATTGAAAGTTCAAGCAAAGTGGAGACTATAGTGAAAGGATATAAATATGAATTTTCTAAGAGGGAAAGGATTTACTAGTATTTCAAAATGGCATTGTGTTCTGGTATATGTGTCACGTCACCTTTAAGGTTTTTCATTTTAGCAATACAGAGATCGATAACCACTGAATATGACTGTTTCGTTTGTGTTATCAGTTCTCATGGTGCAGAACTACCATTGTCGAGATTGTTGGATTCACAGAGAAAACTTCGTGAGCATGTTATATATACAATGAATGGAACCATTCCTACAGACGAAATTCTGAAAATTTTCAATAATGAAGGTTGTAAAAATCTTCAAGGAAAACCACGAATTTTCTTTATACAGGTAGATATTAACTGTAGTTTCTTCCGTGATCTCAAAGAAACGCAATATTTATGGCATTATTTTTGGTCACTAAAGCTATAGTACAAAAAACATTTTACAAATATACAACATACCACAAAGGTCATAATCTCATTGTATTATACAGCTTGATTTAATTTTGAAAGCCTCATCTGTGGTCTCGTTTCTCGATTAGAGTTCGAGAGTTCGTGGGTTCAATTCCATACTGGGTCTGTCAAAGTCTTCAAAAGTGGTATTTGCTGCTTCCCCTCCATTCAACTGGTTGGCTCGGAGTCAGAATGAGAGTCTGATAAGGGTAAGTAGGTAAAAGTGTTAGCTTCCTATAGACTGTTACATTGTGGGCTAGCATGCTTAAATCCGGCTCAGTGTGGCGGTCTGTTACAAAGTAAGATACCTTCATATCATGTAATTGTCCTGCAACTACTTGTACAGTTTGCCGCTGGACGTTTAGAAAACATTAATAAATAACCGTTTTCAGTCGATAAACTATGTACCTGCACTTGAACAAAGTTTCAAACACCAACAGACAAGGCTTACATCGGTTCTCAAACTTTTGTTTACATAGTGGAATATAGTGACGATTATTTATTAAACGCGCGAAGTGTGCACTGAAATCTGATTTATATCGGCGATTTTGTCGTATCAAGATATTACAACCACTGGGTCGTTGCCACTGTTGGTGGACGTTTCATCTACGAATGTCTCACAAACTTGCAGCACTTTTGTACAGACATTATATATCGTTGATAAGTTAATTTTCTGTAAATTTACTGTTTATAAAATGTTGATTTAATCGAAACATTAAGGTTTTTTTGTACCCATGAATTCTTTAGCCATATTTTCGGTTTTTAATTCGTATTTGATTTCGCCTACATATTGTTTTGATTCGAGTGTCGCTGATGAGTCTTGTGTAAAAAAAAAACAGCCGTTTGGCGTTCAAATTATAAGCCTGATATCTTTGATACGGTTTTCAATTATAACCAATCATTGTTTGGAATGTACCAATGGCAAACTTATAATTTTCTTAATTTACATGACCATTTTTATGGGCTTTGATTATTCATTCTTCAGTTTCATGATTTTGGCTTTTGGTCGTTCCTGATGCGAGTGGGTCCGGAGGTATACGATTCGGAAGCATGGGGTTTGTAAAGTGTTGTTTTATTAAGTATACATTTTGTGTCAGGTAAATCCAGAAAAGCGCTTCGGACGCATGAAATTTATAAAGTGTTGTTTTCGTTTTGTATTGAAATTTTACTTAAATGTACTTTTACAAATTGTGACTTGGATGGAGAGTTGTCTCATTGGCACTCATACCACATCTTCTTATATTTATTTATCGGGAAAGTGTATATGTCATTATGTTTACTATTATGTACTATCAACTACATAAAACAAAAATTGGAGTCTTTGTCAGAATTATGTGTATGTTTATTTGATTTGTTTTAGTCAGTTGTGTTGTATGTCTGTGATGTATGTTTACACAGTTTTGGCTCAGATGTATGCGCATGTTTGTTCGAATTTTTAAAGTCAGTTGTGTTGTATGATTGTGCTGCATGTTTACACAGTTTTGGATCAGATTTATTTGTATGTTTGTTTGAACTTTTAAATCAGTTGTGTTTGTGTCTGTGATGAATGTTTACACAGTTTTAGCTGCTGGATCCAAATTACTGTCACGTTAACCAATTGTGTCTTGTTTGGTTTGCTCACCCAATTTTGTCAATATAACGGATCTATAAACAACTGCCATACAAGTGGGAGGTTTAGCAAGCTATAACACCAGGTTTAACGGAAAATTCCTGTACCAAGTCAGGAATATGACGGTTGTTTTCCATTCGTTTCTTTGATTGATTTATTAGGGCCTTTGATTTTGTGAGGTTTTATGGACTTCGCCTTTAAAATTAACCTTGGAGTTCGGTACTTTTGTTAATACTTATTTCTTAGTTCTACTGTTTTTTTTTTATTTAAAGGCTTGTAGATGTGTTATGGGAGCGGACGAAGAGTTTGATGTCGACAAAGGTGTACACATTGAAGTTACTCAAACTCGAATTCATGAAGAAGATTATCCTGTTTTCCATATAAAAAGAAGAAATGAATATAATGATGACGACACAAAAAATGAAGTAAAAAATGAACATTGTGATTTTGTATTAGACGAGAAGTTACCAACTACAAGTAAACAAGATACTAGAGGAAGACCGAAAGACTATGATTCTAAAGTTAGCAGTACAAGGTTCCATTCCGCAGAACCAGCTTCATTTTGTTTTATACCATGCCATGAAGACTTTCTTGTTATGTTTTCTAGTGCATCAGGCAAGTACGACAAAAGAACTATCATATCGATTAGTAAACTGTTACAGGATTTCTTGTCAACTAGACATTTGAATTTCTTCTTCATTTTTTATTTTTTTTTAAATATGTTTGGTCTCGACTGATTTCTTTTTTGTGATATTTTACGCTAAGGTTACTGAAGCGTCTATGGATCAAGTTCAGGTGGAATGTCTGCGAAACACACATTAAAGTACTGTAGGGTAAACTATTTTGCACTATAACGATAATTGCAAGTAAAACACAGTTTGTAGGTAAATTTCAAATGCATGGGTATAATATTTTTAGATTTGTAACTGACTTTTTAACATTATGCCTACTATGTTCCGCCACCTACATGTATTTTCATTAATCATACATTCTCTTGTTTTGCAGAACGAACAGCTTGGTCTGACAATGGTAAAGGAGGTTGGTTATTGTACTGTCTCTATAAGGTTTTTAAGGGTCTTTTAAACTCAGAGTTTAAAACTGATCTATTACATATCTTGGTAGGAGTTTGTGATAAGATGGCGCGAGAACTGGCAGCAGGGACACCATCAGATCCTATTCGAAATAGAACAAAATCAGCAGCAGCAATCTATCACATGTTGACAAAAGATATTTATTTACAACCGAAACATGCGACGAAACAGTCATTTTGCAGTAGACAGTTTGAGGAAAAGTAGATTGATACTCTGTACTTTAAAACAATTGAATATAAGAAATTAAATATCTAAATACCTTGTTAAATATGCAAGACACATGGCTCTATTCCTGTGCGTTTGTTCAAGGCCGAAGGATGGAAATAAAAAAGAGGCATATGTAATATCAAATGTACTAAACCCAAAGGGTAGTTTAAAAAAAATAATTCTGGCATAAACGGATAATCTTTTTACGATTTAACAAATGGAAAATTACTGACATATTCTCAATTCAGTGAAATAACATTTAAACGACAAAGTGGTGAAAGGTTTTATGACGCCAATATGACAGTCTTAGTCAGGAACCTGATGTTCAGTGGTTGTCGTTTGTTGATGTGGTTCGTAAGTGTTTCTCGTTTTTTATATAGATTAGGCCGTTGGTTTTCCTGTTTGAATGGTTTTACACTAGTCATTTTTGGGACCCTTTATAGCTTGGCTCCGTGTTGAAGGCCGTACTTTGACCAATAATGGTTTACTTTTACAAATTGTGACTTGGATGGAGAGTGGTCTCTTTGGCACTCATTACCACATCTTCTTATATCTATTTATAAAAAGTCCCATGAGGTGAGGCATTAAAACAAAACACATCTTAAAAGCTACCAAGAGTTTATAAAAGTCATCGTTTGACGACATACAATTAAAGCAACACCTTGGCCAAAAAGAAAAAAAAACAAGAGTGCTCACGCTGAAATGTCTCGCCTGCTTTACTGACCATTGATTTTATGTTGAAAGTCTTAAAGATAAAGTTTTTACTAAAAGCATTACAGAAACTTAACATTTTTTAAAGATCTATGACAATAAAGATCATAAAGGTCAGATAAATCGTGTCAGACAGACATATACACCTTACAATTTCACAAAATATAAATGAACTATTGCATATGCTAATTGAAAAACAGACCAAAACACAAAAACTTAACATTGACCCATGAACCATGAAAATGAAGTCAAGGTCAGATGATACCTGCAAGACAGACATGTGGACCTTACAATTATTCCTTACACCAAATATAGCTGATCTATTGCTATTAGTATTTGAAAAAAAGACCAAAACACAAAAACTTAACATTGACCATCGAACCATAAAGATGAGGTCACGATCGGATGATACCTGCCAGACAGACATGTACATCTTACAATCATCCCATACACCTAATATAGTTGATCTATTGCTTAAAGTACTTGTAAACAGACAAAAACACAAAAAACTTAAAATTGAGTAATGAACCATGAAAATAAGGTCAAGGTCAGATGATACCTGCCAGACAGACATGTACAATTTACAATCAATCCATGCATCAAATATAGTTGACCTATTGCTTATAGAACTTGAAAAACAGACCAAAACACAAAAAATTAAAATTGACCAATGAACCATGAAAATGAGGTCAAGGTCAGATGATACCTGCCAGACAGACATTTACATCTTACAATCATTCCATATATCAAAATATAGTTGACCTACTGCTTATAGTATTGGAGAAACGGACCTAATCACGTAACTTTAACCTTGATCACTGATCCATGAAATGAGATCGATGTCAGGTGAACTCTGTCTGACGGACATGTAAGCGTTGCAAGGAACCCATATACTAAATATAGTTATCCTATTACGCATAATAAGTGAGAAATTCACATGACAAAATAACTCAAATTTTTTTTTCAAGCAGTCGCTGAACCATGAAAATGAGGTCAAGGACTATGCACATATGTTTGACGGAAACTTCGTAACATAAGGTATCCGCATACAAGATATGAAGCATCCAGGTCTTCTATCTTCTGAAATGTAAAGTTTTATACAAATAGTTTAGCGCAACCAAAGACGGTATCTTTGGTGGATTTACAACTGCTGGACGTTTCGTACCAGATGGTATCGCCAACCCTATTTAGTGTGCACTTTAGGGCTGGCATAAAATATCGTTGATTTTCAGTTTTACTGTTCATGGAAAGTCAAATCATTCGAAACACAAAGGTTTGTTTCTACACCAAGGCATATATGACCGTAGCCAGATTTGGCACAACTTTATGAAATATTTTGTTTTAAATGCTCATCATCTTTACTGAAATATTGATTTGACAAGATTGATCAACATGAACCCTACCAAAAATTAAGGTTAAATTCATGTGTTTCTGTAAGGAAAGCAAATCCTGATCTACCCGTTATGTTTACTCATTACAAGTTAACACCCGGTAGTAGCTCACTTTTGGTAACAAATCATAAAGTAGGAAAAGTTGACGCGATCGAAACAGGCGTAAACGAAACTCATGTGTGGTCAAATGTGACACTGATGAAGACATACACTCAATTAGTCGTATAGTTAAATTTTCAGGCTATCCTCGCTGTCCATTTCTAGGCAAAAGATAAGATACGAACCGACTCAGTTATGGCAGTGGTGATTTTGGTATCAAGGTCAATGGTATAGATGCCATCAACGTAGTTGCCAAATTTTGCTTAAAGTAAAAACGGCCCAAATGTGGCATCACTAACCTAAAATATACAACCAATCAAAAATCACTCTTTCAAATTGTAATTTACGTACTTGACAGAATTAATTATTTATAGTTTATTGATAATATATAGATGTGACTGCAGTAATATCTAGACGTTACATCGTATCCAATCAAGATTACTATGTATGATCGTATCAGAAAGATGCTAGACCTATCTCCGGTGTATTTGATCCAGACAGAGTAAAAATCAGAAAATTAAAACCTACTGGAATTTTAATTTAAAGGAGTACATACCATACACTTATTTCAAACATTTTCCAAACAGCTTTACAGATTTCCATTAAATCAAAATGCTATTTAGAGCTACATATTGATCCATTGAAGACATTTTGATATAAACGTTATTTTGTTGACTTTGGTTAGGCATTCTTTACGTGCCTGTCCAAAGTCAGGAGCCTTAATTGTGATTCACTTATTGTCATTAGTTGCTGGCTACCTTATTTGTTTTTCGTTTGTTGCTTCTAGCATGAATTAGACCGTTGGTTTTCTCTTTTAATTGTTTTACATTTTGCCAGCATGGGGCCTTCAATAGTTTATTATATACGGTATGGGATATGCTCTTTGTTACTGGCCGTGCATTGCCCTGTAGTTTTTTTGCATCCTCGTCCGTTGGAGGATAGCTGTCTTATTTGCAATCGTATCACATTTCCTAATGTTTATTATTTATATCCGAAAATCAAAATACAACGTTACTTCCAACATTTTGTTTTTGGTTTGATTAGCGGTGTGCTTCTAACTGGTATATGTTTAGAAGGTAAATACCCGGGTAGATACTCATAATTTTGTCAGAATTGCGTTTTGTTGCTATCGTCGGGCGTTTATAATTGTTTATTGTGTTACAACACTAAAAAGAAAATGGTAAAATTCTAAGAACTCACACCATAGTACATGTAGTCATTTCATTAAGACAATCTAGAAACATAAACGTACCAAGTATAAGGGCTTTCTCGCAAATAGTCTCAGAAAGCGTTTTGTTCACAATGTGTCATTGTGTACAATTTCGACCATGCTGACTTATTTGTAGATCTTATTGTGCTGGACATTTTTGCTATGATGATCGTTTCTATGAATTATGGTTTGTAATGTGTTTTGTTTACTATTTACAGTTAATATATTGCTATTAAGGATTAAAAGAAAATTGAAAAAAAAAATAATAGTCATTAAAATATCTTTAAAGACAATAGTCTTACAATTTGAACATTTGGACTTACTAGTAGATCTTATTTTGCTGATCATTTATTCTTTAAAAGTTTTTCCCCATCTACTAGTTTTTAGATAGTCATCATTCAGGGGAAATTACTCCTGTAAGGAGCCGGTTGAAAGCTTTTTCTTATCTACTATACTTTTTTTTCAGAAAAATTCACCATTCAGGGGAAATAATTCATTTTAGGAAACAATTACAATTTCGACCATGCTGACTTATTTGTAGATCTTATTGTGCTGAAAATTTTTGCTATGATGATCGTTTCTATGAATTATGGTTTGTGCAAAAATGGGCATCTTTCAAGGGCAATTACTTCTTATAAAGGTTTAATTGAAGACTTCAGCTAAAGATAATATTTTGCTTAAAATCTTTGTTATTTACATTTCTCTCAATCTTTTAATTGGTTTCTGCAAAAAATGCAAAAATGTGTAAAACAATCTTTCAAGGGCAATAATTCCTTTAAGGAACCGATTGACGATTTTAGTCATGTTGGACTTATTAGCAGACCTTATTTGATGAGCATTTTTGCTATACAATTTCTTTCTATTATGGTTTCTGCAAAATTGGGTTAAAAACTCTTTCCGGAGCAATAACTTTTCAATGACGATTTTGGCCATGTTTGATTTATTTGTTTATCTTATTGTTCTGGTCATTAGAACTGTTAAAATATTCTCTCCTACTATAATAGTTTTCAAGATAATAACCAAAGACTTCATAATTTGCTTTAAATTGACATTTCAGTGACAATAACTCAAATTTGTTGTCCAATTTCTCCGAAAATTGTCTAGGAGAGACCTGTATACCTAATTGTGCTGAATATTATTGCCATATAGTTTCTACGTATTGTGGACATTTATGGTTTTGGCAAAAAAAATGCTGATCATATCTATCAATGCCAGTTTTGCTCTAACTGCTTTAGTTTTTTAAGATTTTGCTAAAAATTTAAATTTCAGGTGCAATAACCCCAAAATTGGTTGTCAGATTTTTCTGAAATTCCCTAGAAGATAGAAATTGACCTGCTATTAATTTATATCCATGTCAGTTTTGTGTTTAAGATTTAAGTCAAAAACTGCATTTTATATCCATGTCAGTTTTGTGTCAATAAATATATTCAAAAATATATGGCAGTCAAAGTTGAGTTAAAAAGACAACAAACACAAAGATTTGATGAATCCTTTGAGAAAAATACGGCAGTCAAAGGTTGTGTTATAAAAACTACAAACACAAATGTTTAATAAATGTATTAAGAAATATAGGGCAGTCAAAGTTGGTAAAAAAGATAATAAAAACAAAGGTTTAATAAATCTATTGAAAAATATCAGGCAGTCAAAGGCAGTGTTAAAAA